TTCAGGCTTCGCCCCATGCCTTAGATTATATGGCTTGCCTTCCAGTACATATGGCCATATGGCTATGACATTTCCAAAAAGTTTTGGTCTATCCCTATTGAAAAACATAACTGTACATGGATAAATTTCTTCCTTTGAATTAAAAATAAGTATTTGCTTCCATTTTGAGCTGATGAGGAAGTCACCGTAAGAGAGTGTGTGCTTGCAGAGTTATTTCACAACTGTCAGTGGCTCCCCTGATAACAACTCCTGACATTTGTTTCCATCTTCATAGCTAAAATCACTGATACTTATTTCCTTTGAGCCCCATGGTCTTTATTTTCCTATGAGGAAACTGAGATTAAAGAATGACCTAGAGCCTTAAATACAGATGTGCTAACAGGAAGGTGAAGATATTCTGGCCTGCTAAGAATAGGATGAGGGGGAGAAAATAGTTATATAAGTAAATGATCTTCGAGCAATTAAAAAACTGCTAACTAAATTGCCTGCCACACATGACTCAAAATTCATCTCATACAAAAAATAAAATAGATGAAGTTAACTACTATCCTCAATTACAGAAAAGCACATTTGAATTTTTTCCTAAAGACCTGATATGACCCTGTTATTGACAGGAACAGGAACAGCCCATATTCGACTGACAGTAGAGGAGAGCACACAGGAAAGAAAGTCAGTAATGTTCCTAAACAGTTTTTTGTTGTTTGCTTTTTAAAATGTAAAAAGGTTAAAATTTAAGTTGGGTGTTTTAAAAAAACTGCCATAGAATTTCTCAGATTACATGAGTAAGCAGATATATAGAAGCTTAATTTCTCATTTTAAATATGACTGCTGACCAGTAAAATTATGCTAAAAATAGAGAGGGCTTAATATCCCTCAAAGATGACTTATTTTGTTCGTGACTTTAACCCCATTTGACCAACTGCTCAGAATTCTTCTCTGAGTCATATTGTATTGATTAATTTATTTGAAGTGTTTATAGGGAAAAAGTACATATTAGCCTGGTAAGCAGCAAAATAGAGACAGTTTTTAAGAAACCTAAGTTGTATTAACCTGCAGTCAAATATAATCTTTATTTTAATATTTATACAGATTTATATTGTTATGAACCTATTCTTAATGTGGATTTGATTTTATTCGTTTCTCTCCTCCCTCACTTCTGTGAGATGCAGAAGGGAAAGGGTGTTTGTTATTCCCACATTGTACCCCACTAACTACTGGTGTTATACATCTGGCTTCCACTGGAGAGCCCCTGACATCGCAGGGAACGGTGATCAAAATTCCACACACTAGCTTCATGCTGGGGGCTCGTAGCTACTGCAGCATTGAAGAGGGTCTTTTCCTGGCTTCTTTAAATGAGCATGGTGATGGGATGGTTTAAGGGAAGAACACCTCTCAAATCACATGACCACTGCTGCGCTTCTGTGTGTCCTGCTTTCTTCATAACAGCTTGGCACTACATTCTTTCCCTGTATCTTAGTGGGCTTGTGTGTGTACGAGTGGGATGGGGGTTGGGGTGGAGGCTTGTCAGAGGGTGATTATACGTCATGCATGCATCTTTCAATGTTAGAGTGATGTGCCTTCCCATATGTGTCACAAATTATGATCACAGATTAAATCTTCTGTGTTCCTGAGAGACTGGGCTGTCTCTCTTATTGGTGTGAGATTCATGTGTTTTAATGTTTACACCCTCAACTGTTCTTCATGTTGCATTAAACATAAGTTGAAATGTTCTCCCATAAGAGTTAGCTTTTCATGTTGGGCTGAAAAAGTCTTTACTTATGTGTAGCAATTCATGTTATTATAACCTATGGCTTTCAATTGTACCTCCCATAATGAAGAGCTGACTTTAAACACTGTGCTATTCTTGTTATGACCTAAGCATAAGGTAAGTCAATTCTCTAACTGTATCTACAGATTGTGGTTGTTTGTTAAAATTTTCTTGGCTTTGTTTAAAGCACTTTCATTTTTCCCCTTGCCATTTATTATGTCCTCTCCCCCGTTTTGTTTTCTATTTCATGACTTTAAGAATTGTTAATAAACAATATGACCCTCAGCAAAATTATATTATACATATAAACACATGTTGAAATGAATTAAATGAATTATTTGATGTCTGAAAGCAGTCTTGATTAGTAAATGAATATTTATATTTTTAGTAAGTCTCTTGTATATTTAATTTCCTCCATTGACTTTAATATAATACACTGTTTACACATTGTTTTAGTTTTGATTCCATTTGAAAAGAGACTTCATTGTCAATACCATAAAGTCAGATGTATTCCAACAAAATACAGTAATAAATAATCCAATACCATACCTTTCATTTTTAATTCTTGACAAATTGGTATTAGGCTTCAAAATCTTGGCTTTATTTTGTTTTTCAAATTTTGTTTTAATTTCCATTGAAAAGCCAGAGTAAGATAAAGAAAAATAAAACAGTAAACCATTAAACTTAAGACAGACCCATGTTATCTTCTTTATAGTTCATATGTGTAATAACAAGAACAATAGTTGTTTCTCAACTTTTTTCTTTCAAGTAAATTCCATTTCATTGTGAGTCAGGTAAAATCTTTATATTGGGATTTTATAAAATGAAGTAAATACGTAAACATGACCAGTTTCATGATATATAAGGGAGGAGCATCTGCTACATAAATATTTTTAAATTTTTTAAATTATTTTCCTCAATTTGTTTATATATATACTTAAGATCACTAACGTAAAGTTTATGTAATTATTTATTTTAAAAGTGTTTTCCCTCAACTCTGGGTTAAATACCCAATGTAACATAAATGAGAAAACATTGGTTTATACTGCTGTTGACAATTTGTGAACCTAAATAAATAACCCAGATTCAGGGAATTGAATTGTTTTTAATCATCCAAATTTCTCTTCCAAAATAGTTGACATACACAGTTCTAAATTGAGGTGCCACAAAGCAAAACTTAGGTTTAGTTATTAAATTTATGGTATGAATGAATTTTTTGTTAATTTTTTAAGCCATCTAAGGAAGGGAGATGGTGTTATTTTATTGTTGTTTTGGTTTGGGTTTGTTTATTGCTTTGTTATTTTGGTAAAGCCAGCTAGTTCTTCACCACCATTTCCATTTAGACATTATACCAATCTGTTGAAACATTTGATGAGAAAAATTAAACTACTCATCTGAACTGTTCTGTTCATTATAAATCTCTTGTTTCTATCCATACACTAGCTCCACTCTAGATTGGAAGGGCTTAAAGATGAACTCTGGAGGAATAGAGGCTACGACTTAAGAGTAACTATTACTGATCAAAGGAGCTGCTTTCCATTCGCAAACATTGCTTTGCGTTATGGGTTTGGGCTCCTTCTGTTTCTACATCTTGTTGAAGACTTTCTTGACTTCCATTTGACTTCTTTGACCTCTGTTTTTGTCTTTAAACATTTTCCCCTTTCTTCTTCTCTCTCCCAGATTTTTCTCTCACTTTTTAGCTTTCTCTTGTGTTCTTTGAATCACTTTTAAAATCGTAGTTTATCTCTGTATTAAGCTTGTCTATTAATTTTTCTATTAGTGTTTGTTTATTTTCTCCTTTAAGGTTGTAGTGATATAGTTACACTTATTTTCATTTCATGGTGTGCCAACTTGCTTGTTTATCTTGCAGCAAGTTCATTAGTCATTCTTACCTTCTTGGTATGAATTTTCAATAAGAAATAGCAGAACATTCTGCATTTACATATTGTCCCTTCGATAAACCCATACTTTGTTTTCTATTTCTAGAGTTACCCCCTCGAGGCCCTCTCTTCTCTTTTTTTTCTCGCTCTTGTGTTTTCCTCCCTGTATTGTTTTAAGTAGTCATTAATTTCTTTCTCATTTGGTCCAGAATTGTTCCTCAATAAAATTTCTGAGTAAAAGAATATAAAAATACTGTTTTAGATTAGCTTCTTTATTCTATTATATTTAAAATTAATTTAACAATCTGGTCCAAAAGAGAATAACTTTAACATCTGGAATTATTTTTCCTCTTTTTTTCTTTTTTCTTTTTTTTTCTTTTTTTTGGTGTGTGTGTGTTTTTTTCTTGTGTGTATGTTTGTGATTTTTTTATTGTTTTTTTTTAAGCATTAACAATTGCTTTTTTCAGGGACGGACAACCATAACCCACCCTAAGTTGCAACATTCCTTTCATAAGTTGTTTCATTACAATAGTAGATTGTGTTAAGCAATAGAAGTTAATTTGTTGTGTATATATCCATTTGGGGCAAGCTGCTGTGGAATGGGAAGAAGAGGTGTGGAGTTTAAATACAATTTCCTCTAAAATTAGTAAGGGGTAGTGCCATTCAATGTGGCGCTTGAATTCAACAGTTTTGCAGCATTTAAAAAGAATGTCCCGCTTTGAACTAAAATATTTGAATCTAAGCCTAAGGATTTCTGATTGATAAACTATATATACACATAAGAACTGGTAAATGTATTCAAGCCCATTGATTTCCAACAGAAGCATCTTTCATAACCAATATTAATAAATAACAAATGTCATTAAAATCACACATAAATATTGTATCTGAAGATTTTTCCTTTTTTGTTTTATCAACATATATAACCAAACAAGACAATAGAGTATTTGATTACAACTTTTATTACTTGAATTGCATTATTCTAGTCAAGAGATATTCATAATGCCTTAAGATTAACTATCTGTTTTCACAACTGAATATGTGATAACTTGAATTTTTTTCCATACACTAATTTCTAATGCACATCAATAAAAAATTACCTTTGGTTTTACCTCTGTCACATTTATATTATTATAGACTCAATTTTTTTCTGTAAATTAGTTGTTTAAAGTGAAGAAAGGATAATATAAAATATATGGAACAAATGTAATAAATTTTTACTAACAAGCCATGGTATCTGTGGTGTAAAACCTTGGCTCCTAGACCTCAGGAGCTTGCCCAGTAGGACTGTGTGCATCTCTGGCTATCTGTGTTCTAAGCCCTAAATTACTGAGTTTATGCTTTCTCTGCAGGTGCAGTCCAGGTGCAGCAGCAAGGAGAACATTCTCAGAGCCAGTAAGTATGTCCTTATTTTAGATGGACTACAGAATTAGTGCTTGTGGTTCATTACGAATGAGCACTAAAAATCACATTTTGGTAGAAGAATGAAGAAGGTAATAGGTAACATTTATATCAAGAATATGAATATTAAAGTTTTTCCTTCTTAAAGTATTAGTATCAATATATTAATGGATGTTTCCCTCATCCTAATTGTTTTTGCAAGCTGGCAACAAAACGCTGATAGCACTCCTAGCTAGAGTAGTACTGAGCTCCTCTGTGATTCCAAGATGAGAGCCCTCTTTCATTGCCCACTGCCAAAAAGCTATTTAAAAACAGACTAACTAAAAATAATAATAATATACATTCACTAAAGGGCTCTAACTAAAAAACAAAAAGTGACTCCTGAGAGGATACATCATAATCGTTTTGTGAATTTGAATTCCTGAAAGTTCTTTACCTCACAGGCACATGTTTTAGAAATAGTGCCCTGAACTATGGATGAAGAAACCTTTGTTTGTTTGATTACTAGAAACACTGACTTGGAAGTCCTTTAACTTTTTATATTATTCATTTTTCTTATTTTATAAAAGGAACTATAAATAGCTTTTCCTTACCTGTATCCTTGAAATTATGTGACATTGAATGTTGACCCTTAAAAGATTTGGGATCCTAAGAGAAAAGTGCTACATAAGTGTTAATTATTTTAATAGTGTTCTCTTTCACTTAATATTAATGGTGTCATCCTTTCTTCTTTCTAACCTTTGTAAGAGAAAAAGTACAGTGTGATACTTATACCACTGGAAGTTTTAGTAAATGAGATGATTTATATTTCCAGTAGAATGTGTTTATTATTTAACAATCAAAATGTAACTGGAGTACTTGAAATAGGTAAAAATTAATTTTTATTTTATTTTCTTTAATGTAAATTTTTCCTACTTCTGTGTTGTGAATCTGTTACCTTACCTTGAAACCCTTGGATTGAGAGACAAACACATTGCAATTGTTTGCTCAGGACCTTTATATCATAGTTATGTAAAAATAAACATGAATACCTCTGTTTAACTTCTATACTTTTGTGAGTTTTCACATTTGGAAGATGTGAGAATCTGAAGAAGACTCTTCAATTGTAAGAGATGTGAAGTCTTATAGTCCCATACTAAGGTTCAGAAACCTAAGAGTCAAGGGAATGATGATTGAATATTCACTAAAATAAATGATAGGGATAAATGAACTTTAAAATGATGTTTTATGATGGTTACTGTACAATTTCCATTTATGGTTGATCTTCAAATGATAATGGAACTGATAGTGATTATGGTGATCAGGAATAAAAATGATTTCTTACAGAGAACAGACTTCTTGAACCTTTTTCACCTCTAATAGATCTTTGTGTTGTTAAGACTGTCTTTCTTTTCGGTTAATGCTCTTACTGGATTGTTGGCTATTAATCATTTTGGCAGGACATCACGAAGGTCTAGGTTTTTCTTATCATGGTTTTTTAGGATGAAGTTGTCATGTAGGTGGCCCATATAGCCATTTAGATCCATGTAGAGAGCTCATCTAACATCAGAGCCTCATAGTTCTGTGACTTCTATAAAATTCTTTCCTCTCAACCCCACTTTATTACTTATACTCATACCCATAGCCACACCTAGAATTCCTTCACTTCCATAAGCTGTTCTAACTCTGAACTTCCTAACCTCAATATCTCATTGCTTAGTCTACTTTTATCTCACTTTATTTCTTCCTCTGCCATGTATTACTATATTACAGTTATATAGACCCTATTAGCAGTTCACCGTTCTCTCAGTACTATGTCCTGCCTGTTCCTTTGGACCCTTCCCCCTGCTACATAAAATATCCATTCTCCTTGTTTTCCTAGAAAATTCTCATCTGTTGAAACTGAGTTCATGTGATTTCCTCTGTGATGCCTTCTCCGAGTTTCCCGGAGGAAACAGGGTGGATCCTTCTTGTATGTCCCTATTGTTCCTTCTACTATTGTTCCTTCAAAACAGTATGGTACTTGCATAAAAACAGATATATAGACCAATTGAACAGAATCAAGAGCATCTGTGATTAATTAATATTTGACAGAAGAACCAAGAATACTTAATAGAAAATAGATAGTCTCTAACATAAATAATGTTGGGAAAATTGGATATTCACATATAAAGAATGGAACTAGATACCCAATTCACACCACTCACAAAAAATAACTCAAAATAAATTAAAGACCTACCTGTAAGACCAGGAACCCTAAAACTCCTAGAAAAAAAACAGAGGAAACAAGCTCCTTTGCATGAGTTTGGCGATTTTTTTGGATATGACACCTAAGGGGTAAGCAACAAAATCAAAATTCAGCAAGTGGAACTACATCAAACTAAAAAGCTTCTGCACAGCAAAAGAAACTATCAGTGAAGTGAAAATATAGCATTGGGAATGGGAAAAATATTTGCAAGCATGTAACTAATAAGGAGTTAATATCCAAAATATATGCAACTCAATAGCAAAAATAATAATAATAATCCAATTAAAAATGGGCAAAGACCTGAATAGACATTTTTCAGAAAAAGATATATAAGTGGCTAACAAGTACATGAAAAGATGCTCAACATCACTAATCATAAGGGAAATGCAAATCAAAACTACAATGAGATATCATCACCTTATGCCTATTAGAATGGCTGTCATCAAAAAGACAAAAGAAAAAAAGCTGGCAAGGATTAGTGAAAAGTGAACCTTTGTGCACTGTTGGTGGTATTGTAAATTGGTACAGCCACTATGGAAAACAGTATGGAGGTTCTTCAAAAAAGTTCAAATTAGAAATACCGAGTGCTAACAATTTTACTCTGGGTACAAAGGAAACAAAATCACTGTCTCGAAAAGATGCCTGCACCCCCATGACTATAGCAGCCTTGTTCACTGTAGCCAAGACAGGGAAGGAACCTAAATGTCCATCAACGAATGGGTGAAGAAGTTGTGATTTAAAAAAAGAAGAAGAAGAAGGAAATCCTGCCTTTTGCAACAACATAGACTTTGAGGGCATTACCATAGGTGAAATAAGTCAGAGCAAGATAAATCCTGTATGATCTGACTTCTGTGTGGAATTAAAAAATCATAGAAAAGTAGATCATTTGCAGTTACCAAAGGTCCAGAAGTATTGGGTGAAGGAATCAGATGAAGGTAGTCAAAAGACACAAGCTTCCAAAAATAAGTAAGTACTGGGGGTGTAATATACAACATGATGACTATAGTTAACGCTGCTGTGTGGTATACTTGAAGGTTGTTAAGAGAGTAAGTAGATCCTAAGAGTTCTTATCACAAGGAAAAAATATTTGTGTCAATATAAAATAATAATATTAACTAAACTTACTGTGGTAATCATTTCAATATATGAAAGTCAAGTTATAATGCTACACACCTTAAATTTGCACAACAATGTATGTCAATATGTTTCAATAAAATTGGAGGGAATAAAACAACAAAATGAAGCTAAGAGAATAAATCCCTTTCTCAGTTGAAGGAGCCTTCAGAACAAGATTTAGGGTTATTAGTCAAATTACCCAATTTCCTGACTTCCTTATTTGCTTTGTGGATTTTTTAGTAATATCAGTGATCCCAGAGAAGTTTACAGGCAAATAAGAACATTTTTACCCAAACTCAGCATGTACTCTTCTATGAGAGGCCAATATTATAACTAAAGCAGCTGAGCCACAGTCATTGTAATTTCATGAAACTTTCAAGTGAAGAGTTATTTAGCCTTGGTGGCATTATGTAACTCACCCGCTATTCTCTGAATCTTAGCATGTAGCACCTTCCCTACTTTCAGGGCCCCTTGTAAAGCTTGAAGTAAAGAGGATTGAGAAAAGAAGAAAGAAATCCAGAATTTCCCTTGAGTTATTAGGACTTTGAGTTTTATATCAATGCCCACTTTTCTTACTTTTTAAAAATTATCTAACAATCTGTTTTTTTCTTAAAAAAGAAACTGATGGGCTAAAATGTGTTCTGGAAGAAGCTCCTTGCAGTATGTTTTCCACTGCCTTAGTTTTCTCATCTGTAAAATGAAAACAATAGAAGAATATCTTGCATTTAGGGGTAGGGGTTTAGATGGCTTGATTTGAATCTTAATGAGTTCAACACTAGCAATTCTCCTACAGTTGTTAAATTGTGCCCATAAAATGCAAAAGGTCTAGCAGCTTTTTGAAATCTTCAGTTTGGGGTTGATCTCCCTGAGAACTTCAATATCCAAATCAGATGTAATCATCACAAATAGGAGAGTATTCAGGGTTTTCTAGGAAGGAAACCATCAAAATACTTAATCTAAGCAATTCCATTTATTCAGTATGCCCTGCCTATCAAGTTAGCAGGAATGATACTACAAAGGAGTAAAGACTGTTTCTATGTTAAACATTCAGGGTGGCGGTTATAAAGGATGTGGAACAGGTATCAGAGGATTATTAGAGATACCTACCAATGAGTAGTTTTTTACTCCAAGAAAGAGATTGTGTTGCAGTGTGAAGTTTAAGGTTGATGTAGTATGAGGAAGGGATCCAACTTAATTCTTTTACTTGTGGCTATCCAGTTGTCTCAGTGCCATTTGTTGAAGAGACTGTTCTTTCTCTTATTGAATGGCCTTAGCATCCTTGTCAAAAGTAAGTTTACTAGAGATGTACTGGTTTATTTCTGGGCTGTCAATTCTATTCCATTGATCTGTATCTACCCTTATGTCAGTCTTACAATGTTTTAATTTCTGTAAATGTATAGTAAGTTTTGAAATTAGGAAGTGAAAGTCTTTCAACTTTGTTCTTTTTCTGTATTATTTTTCCTCCTCAGGGCCCTTTGCCATTCCATAGAAGTCTGAGGATTGGCTTTTCCATTTCTGGAAGGAAAAAAAAAAGCTTTGGGGATTTTAATAGGCATTGCAATGAATCCATAGATTGCTTTGGGTAGTATTGCTATCTTAATATTGTCTTCTAATCTATCTTCCTTTGGATCTTAATGACAGGCTCACTTTT